GCCACCGCCCCCCTGGTCTATAAGTGGCTCCGCCACTGTCTCTATCTCTTTTATTTTTTATATTAAAAAAAAAAAGAGAGAGAGAGATAAAAGATGACAATTTCGGGTTGAAATATTCAAAGTACAACCCTGCCATCTCAAAAAATCAAAAATCAAGATCAGAATTAACAAAATTGTACTAAGATATACTGCTAATTAACATCCACACATACTTCTAAATATTCCATTGCAAATATGGAACATATACTTACACACATGATATATACATGTTCTGCATATCAAATATCACAACAGAGTTGATCGTCATGATCGGGATCTTCAAGTTACAACATCTACAAATTAATGGAAACTTATATATATACCTATATATACACACTTCTTCATGGTATATATTGTTAAAAAGTCAAGAATTCTCGAAAAGAAGAAAATGGAATGAAAAACTGAATCTCATGTTAAACTAAAAATAATCCAACCTTTAAATAAGTTTTACAAGATAATATTATCTAAAATGATAACTAATCAATCTTATTTAATCTAATTTAAATGATAATAACCTAAAACAAATAAATAACTCAACGTTTTAAAAATCAGGGATAGAGAATGATGTGACTTCCGTAAAAGATGTAATTAATTTAGCCAGTAGATAAGGAGTATTTTGGAGGAGGTTTCGTTTTTACAAGGGACAGCCATAAAAAGAGCTAAAAATTGGAGAGTGTCTCCATTTGGCTCTATAATCTACTATTTTAGTAGAGTTTTGCCTTATGTGTTTGGGAGTTTAACGGTTCAAATGCTCTTGGGTCAAGTAATTTAGCTAAATCGCAAATTTTTTTTATTGAAATGGAACTATAAACAAGGAGTGAGGTGAGAATTTGGTGTGGATTTTTAGGGAAAAGGGGTTTCTTTTCAATTATCTTGGGGTTCTATTGGTTTTTTTCTTAAAAGATGGGAAGATTTTATTGAAGAGATTGATTTTTGTTAAGCATGAAGCCTTTTAAAGATGTAATGTCCATGACAACCTTTTTCTCCCCTCAAATTTTGTACTTATTTTTATTACTCTTCAATTAGATTAGTTCCTTATTTTTTTTATTAATTAAAAATATATTTATTTCACCATTAACATGTGTAAAAAGACTTAATATATTATAAATTAAAAATATAATAATATAAATTTTTACATATATTTATAATTAATTTAAATAAAAACTTATAAAAATTAATATTTATATAGATGCTTTTAATTGATTAATTAATTAATTTAAAGTCAATCTTTATATTTTTTATATAAATTAATTAAAAATTACATATATTATACATTTTATATATTAAAAAACCCATTAAAATTTTAGAAACACTCTACATACATTTTAACATGGAGCATGCTCGAACTTGTGCCTCCGCCACAATGGGCAAGGTTGCAAACCAGTTGATCCACCGCACCTATTGTGCCATGGTACTACACAACATTATATTTATTCATTTGGATTGACCCGGCAGTTTGATCAGTTGAACCGATTTAACCTCCTAATCGGTTTTTAAAACTTTGAAATAACTTAAACTTTATTTAGAAATAATAGCTAATAGGATATAATTTCCAACATATATATCAATATCAATATGGGATCAGAGGAAACGCAACGCAACTAATTTTCATGAAGAGTCTGTGATATAAA